TCTTGAAAACTCATTTTGTTCATTTACCAACCAATTAGCCTTTTTTAAATCCTGGACCCCCCCACCACCACCACCATCCTATCTTTCTTCTCCATGCACACTATTTACAAACATAGTCTGGCTTATCCGAATTCATTCATTTCCCCCCCTTTTTACTTTTCCCACCTCCCCTCATTCTTTCAATAATGTCTAGGAAAAGCAAAAGGTACAAAGCAGTGACAAAGCAGCCAGGTGGAGATGCTCCTAGCTACCTGGAGAGGAAGTTGGAGGTTTCCAGTGACAGTGGAAAAGACAAGGGAAGAGATGATCTGGTTGGAGTGAATGAGTGTATTTATATGTCCTCCCGGTGTCTTTTGCAAGCTTCTCAGAACCACTTTGATTCTAACTCCACTGAGGCATTTGCTGAAGCCAGTCACAGTGAAGGAACTCAGAGTTAACCTCTTATACCAAGTGAATCTTTCCATTTAGAGGCCAATACATCTGCATTTCCAGCTACCCTTTGTTGATCCAGCCTGGACTTAGTGAGGCAAAACCACAGCTTGTAATTGTGACCAGATAAAGTTTTCCAAAGTTGAGATTTGTTTTTCTCTTTCCTCTCATTTAAACGAGCAAACAAACAAACAAACAAAAGCAAAGCAACCTAAAACAACAACAAAAAACTGAATCTGAAAAATCACCTCATTTAACAAGTTAAAAAAAATTAACAAAATAGCAGTTCTTCCTTTTCTGTGCAGAAAGCTGGGAATTTCTTGAGATTTTTTTTTTTTTTTTAAAAACAGCCAGTCTGTTGATTGAAATGGTTGCCCAAACTGCAGTGCTGAAAAGATTTATAGTATTCCAACAAGTCTTTATTTTGAAATGTGGTTTTAATGGTGCTGAAGCCATCCAATAATCAATGTAAAATGAGTGTGTGTTTTAGGGGTAGGGAAGATTGGCCAGGACCTGGAAGAGAACTGATACTAGACACATGAAAACCGGTTAGGATCTCCAGGAATGGGACTCCAGGAAAGAGCCTGCCCATGTCTGCTCCTGGACTGTAAAGAAGTACATTGTTAAGGATAGCAACACAGACAAAGCACTGAGCTCTGCCTGGAGCTCAGGGCTGAGTTAGGCTACAGAGTTACACTGAAGCAGCTCTGTCCATTTTGATGGCATTTCTGGGCCACGTGAAACTTATCCTTTGGCCAGCATGGTGTGTGGTTACAGAATTTATTTTCCCATTTATTAGCCCTCCCTCAGTATTTTCCTTATTTACTGATTACTTCCCAGGGGGTTACTCTCCCCCCCTTCTATATTTTTTCCAGTTTTGGCCTCCCACAAGTGCAGAATTTTGGTTTTTGGACCCCCCCACCCTGTTTCTGCTGATCACTCATTTGTTTCCTTTCTCTTTCCTTCCTTAAGAGACAGAGGGAAATGAGAAGAATAGCAGGGGGATTTCCAAATGGCTCCTCTCTGCGTTATTAATTACTCTTACAAGGCAGACAATTCTTAACTAATAACAAAGTTGTAAATTGCTACTAACTATCAGATATTTCTCATCTGTCAGCTCTGGTTGATCTGATTAATATTCCACCCTTTAGAATCATTTTAAGCTGCACTTCCAATCAACTCCAGGATGCAGATGACAGACTTTCACCCTAGGATAGGAGCCTGTCACTTCATGATACTTCCCAGGACCTTGTTACCTATCCGGATGCCCATGGTTTTGACTGCAGAGCAGTCTCAAAGGGCACAGGCTAGGATGCAGGGTTGGTGTTGCCTGGCGTATATGAATGTGCTGTCCTCTATGTGCAATTTGGAAAACTTTATTGAGGGATATAATGGTATTGAAAGAAACAAAAAATGTTTCTTAGGTCTTGTGAAAATTCTTTAGACTCCATATTGAAGGCTAGAAAGCAGACTGACTCATTCAAAGCTATCCTTAGTCTGTGTGACTGGTAAAGAAAGAGCTGTTAGGGGTGAGGTCGGTAATCAAGGCCAAAAGAGCTGAGGGATAGAATACTGGTAAGACTTCATCTTTTGGGAAAAGGTTATATTTTTCCCAAATTATATTGCATCACATTGTAGCATCCAGAATGCATTTTTTTCCCAGCTATCAATAGCTGCTGCCTCAATACCTCTGGAGTTTTAATCTTAATTATATTATTAAGTGAAGTACCGTTCTGTCAGGGCATTGAACATGATTTATGACATCTGCCTATTAAAGGATCGATTGCGAATATCGCTACCATCATCTATCAATATTCTCAAGCCTGGGGTATTTCTCACACCGGGTTATTTGTGGTAGCAGAATGACAGACTGCAGGAAAAGACTATTTCTTCTTCTCAGGACTGGCTTTCCAGGTGCAAGCAGGGAGAGAGAGGTGTAGAGCATCAGCAACCTTCCCCAATTCTTACAGTATCTTACACCTACAGAGAATGTAAAGATTTTTTCCCCTCACTCCTTAATGCTAAAGCCAGTGATTCTCCCTGGGGGCTAGTAGAGGACGAGAAGACTAAAGCCGCTTTTTTTTGGGGGGGAGAAGTAACTCCTGCAGGTCGATATGGGGGGGGGCGAGCATTTCCTAGCTGCCAGGTAATTGTATGGGGGGAAAAAATCAGCAACAAGCAGCCGTTTATAGGAGGACGGATGGCTAGGTGCCGGGGGCAGATTTTATTTTTCTGAAACAGATGCCTGGTCCTGCCTATGCCCGCGGACTCGGAGGTGTTCAATTTAGGAAATCAATAAAAGTTCTCTGCTCCTTAAGCGCCCCTGCTTCCACCTGCTCCTGCTGCCTCTACGAAGGTGGAGGCGGGTGCGAAAGACGCAGTGTCTGGGCCTGCTGGAGCCAGCCAGCTCCGGTCTTTTGTCTCCAGACAGCGCAGCGCCGGGTATTTTCCACACTCGCACTCAGGGGGCATGAAGGGTCCCCGGGGTTACCTGCTAGCCTCTGCCCTCAGCTTTAGGGGGATGGGAGAGACAGAGGGAGCGTAGGGTAAAACTCTCTCTTGTGTCCTTCTGTGGCTGGAGACTGGAGAAGCCCAGCGGGATGGGTCTTGGGAAAACCAGTGTGTCAAGGGGACAGCCTAGATAGTGCCTCACATCTTGTCCTAGCTTCTGGTCTCTGGGCATAGCCTGGGGCATGAACCAGGAGGTGAACACTGGAGGCCCCTCTCTGGAGGGTCAAGTACACAACCTGGTACTCAGTCAAGCACCCACACCCTGACACTCAAGGTAAGCTCATCTAGCTAGTCTGACACAGCAATAGGAGCCCAGGATATGGACCTGGCCTTTGGGTGACTAGCAGTTACCACCTGTCCACACATGGACAACACAGCCACCACCAGACTTTCCTCTCAGGATTCCAGCTTGAAGAAGAATCAAGGATACAGTACTGCCTTTCCAACTCCCAGGCCAAAGGCTTGGAGTCATAGGAGCCACAGTAAGGAAATGGGGTTCCAGGTGGATATCCCTTGGGTCTGGATCATCTTCGATGCCTTGCTGGGCAGTGTGTCAAGCACAGGGACCTTGACCACCCCAGTCATGTAACCTCACCTATCTGGCTGCCTTGCTTAGAGGCCCATTTTGGTCAGGACCATTTGTTTACAAGTCTAGAAACTACCCTGGATAAGGGTAATGATGACCACTTTGAGAGAGTAGTCTACTCTCTGAATAAAGGTAGCTGCCCTTCAGTCCCAAATTAAGCACATCTACCTTCCTTTGAAAGCAACCCACTCACAAGCATTCACTGCAGACCAAAACACCATTCAGGCAGGTCTTCAGGCCTATAGTTAATCTGTCTTGGGGGGCGAGGGTGCATCAGCTGCCCCTGCTCCTTCAGTGCTAGGCTCACAAACTTCAACTGAGATATTCTGGAAGGAAGGTGGAGGCCTGTAGACTCTTAGGATGTTGATGCAGACCTGAGTCAGTGGCAGGCACAGGAGCCTGAAGCAAGTCTCAGCAGGTCCCTAATGTGCCCTCCTTGGGACAGCCCAGGAAAGGAGAGTTTTAGTGAAATAAGAACTTTTGGGGAGTGGGGCAATGGAATGCCCCTGTAACGAGAACCAGAACCTGAGTTCAAGCCTGACCTCCATTATCCAAAGGACCAGTGGCAAAAAATGTGAGGGAGAAGACCTGGGTCATCAAGAAGTGATAGAAACACGAGGAAGTTTTCTTTCAGATTACTTAGGTAAGCTTCCAGTAGGGCCTACTGGAGAATAACTATGGAAAATAGAAAGTAAACGCACAACGTCCATGTTACCAGATTTTAATTATAGTTCGACCTCAACAAAAAACAGCTCTGCCTCACCACTCCTTTTATTGCCACGTGTATATAACGCCATTATTATTTCAATCGACCTTTCAGCCCTGGGGCAGCTGCAGGAGCCCCACATCCAGGAGGACAGTTACCATCTGTGCTGTGGCTCAAACTTAACCCGCTTCACCCGCTCCTCCCCTCTCCCCTCTTTCTTACTTTTTTTGGTCCAGTTAATGGATGGATAGTCGTGGGTCTAGGTTCCTTTAAAAAAAAAATCACAAATTTTGTTAATACAGACAACCTTTGCCCTATTGATCTTTAACCATTTTGTGGTGCAAAAAACCCGGGCTTAGGGCTGGCGGTGCACTTCGAGGCCTGCATCGTAACTTAATCGCTGAAACCTTGCCCTAATTTTCAGGCAATAGATCTGGAGACAGGCAGTCAGAAAAAACCAATGGCCCAAGGAGCTGGATGTAAGCTTTAGATGGATCGAAAATCAACGGGTTGGAAGAAGGATGGGAATTGTATTATGCCCCTATACCCTCACATGGCCGTGGATTTTCTGTCTAGATCTTTAAGAACTCGGGCCCCAGCTCTCTAGAGCTTGCCCCTGTACTTCTCTTTGCTCAGTCTCTTTGGACTACCGCGAGCGCCTGGGCTGCCCTTGCCTGCACTGAGGCACGCTACACACCAGGCTTTTCCCAGCCCCCGGGAGGAGGCGCTGGTGGCCGGGCCGCCTCTCATCCCTCCAAGCCAAAGTGCTGGAGCCCCCATTGACAAAGCCCCTCTTGCAAAGGGGACACACACACACTCACGCCGCCCCACACGCACTGCTTGGAGGGCAGTTTGATCTTGTCTCATTGGCGTCTCCGGCCTGAAAAGAAAATCGTTTGGGTAAACAGCCAAGCTTCCAGGCTTAACGCCCCGCTCCTGCCTCCGCCCCTCTGTCCCCTCCCGCCTCCCCCCACTCCCCTTCAACCCCACCCGCCACCCACACTCGGCTCCGGCTGCCCGGCCTCCAGCGAGCTCCGCGCATCCGGGAGGGAGCCAAGGGCTCCCTGGTTCAAAGGGCCGCAGCCGGAGGGGATGCCCTCCTCGTGTGCCCCAGGGTGCAGAAGCAGACTGCAGGGCGGTGGGACCAGCCTGGGCCACGGTAGGAACCTCGAAACCTCATGCACCCCTATTTAGCTGGTCCCAAGGGAGGGCACAGGGGAGTCCCGAGGCTGGTCGGACATTTCATCAAAAATCTAACGCAGGCCGGGTCAGCAGCCGCTAGCTGTTGCACCTGCGGGCTGCTCCATAGCCTAGATGGGTCATCCTGGTTCCTACCACTTCACCACAAGCGTTTGTCCATTTGTATAACCTAATAGGGGGTGGGGGAGAGCCTTGTGGTTTTTTTTTTTTGGCCGCCCTGGGTTGCATAGACCCCTGGATTAACGATGACCAGGCCCCCACAGCCTTCAAAGGGCCTGACTATTGGAGTAGCCTTGAATCTAGTATTAAGCGATTTCTGATGTTTGATCCTTCCCAAAGGAGAGCTCTTCACATAACTGTAAACATAATTGTTATTAATATGGCAAAAAAAAGCGGTGCTTAAAAGGATACTGAGTTCTCTCTAGCTCACACGTTTAAGCAGAGAGAAACTTGAGATCAGAAATACTGATGAGATTATTAGACCCGATTCGCCCCCACCCGGTTCTTTAATGAAAAATGTCCCTCTCCTGTGTAGTTCTGTCCCTCCTCCTTCTCCTAGTCGCAGGCTCACTCTAATCCAGGAATCATTAGCAACACCCTCTGGCTGCATGTTTTGCGTCGGTGAAACATTGTGGCATCGTTGTAACACTAACTCTTGCAACACATCTTGCGGTAGGAAGGGTAATAGCAAGAAAATAATTTTTCATCCTCAGGCTTTATTCCGTGTGTGTTGGGGGGGTGTCTCAGAAAATATGAATGTGAGATGGGGGTGGTGATGAAAGAGAAACAAATGAAGAGAACTGGACAGAGAAAAAAGTAAAAGTTTCCAATTTAGAACCTCCTCCAAATTGGAGGCCTGTAGCTTGAAATGCATTCTTCTCCCATGACTTCCTCCTTTCTGTTTTTGTCTCGGCTCCTTATTGCCATCCCTCAGTGGATGATGCTAGGGTTCTCTCTGGAATTGCCAGTTAGCTTTTAGAATCTGGCAGTAGCCGCTTTTCTACAAGTTAGCATCATTACCTCAAAGTGGGAAACTCCTAAGAACCTGGCTTTTTGAGGGACACCCTTAAGTCCTGCTAGGAATCTGAGACTTCTCTCTGGTAGGATCTTTCAGGAACCTGTTTTAACCTAGTGGAAAAGGGACAAGCTGACCAGAAAACTAAACTGCTTATTTTCCTGTGAGCCCTATAATTTCTGAGCAGGAACCCTGAGAGCCTTCTAATCTGCCATGTGGAGCAGAGAGGCAGGACACTCACTCCATCTCCTGCCTGGCTGCCCAGCGACCATGCATACTACCAACTCTGAGAAGTGCAAAGTTTCATAAAAGGTTCTCTAAGTTTGGTTTGCAGGGGCAGAAAAATAGAGGGGCTCAGGTGCCACCACATTCTCTTTCCTTACATTCTGCCTCCACCCACTGTCCCTAGGACAGCCATCATTTTACCAGTGGAACCTATTGAACACCACACACACACACACACACACACACACACACACACACACACACACACGAGAGAGAGAGAGAGAGAGAGAGAGAGAGAGAGACTTAGAAAGGGATTAAAATAAATATAAACTACATTAGATGGAAAAATCCATGTCCTTTTCAAAACAAATGGACCACACAGCTCTTCCCTGGGCCATAAGCAAGACACTCCACATTCAAAACTATGTTCAAAAAAATACCTTGTTTCTTATCACACTTGGTTCTGAGATGAAAAAGAAAATGAAACAAAAATTCACCATAGCATATCCTCCAGTTAATTTTCTGTATATTTTATAGTCTAGTCCAGTGGGTATATTTAAATGTGAATAAATATATTAACTGACCAACTGGTTGAAAAGGAAGCAAATAACCAGTTGCATGTTGACGGAAAATAATGTGTAATTCAGAATTTCTGGCAGTTGCTACTTTCCTTGGTTGAAAGGTGGGCATGCTGAGGACTGCATTTGGTAACGTTGTGTTTTTTTGTAAGGCTGACAACGGAGAGGAACCAGACTCCAATGGGGGCAGCCTCTGGCCTGGCAAAGCCTCTCTGATACCCCACGGGTCAAATGAATGGATTTCTGTGGAAATCGTAAATGCGAGGTTATAACTTCATAGGCACCCGCTTCGTGGGAGACATTTGCATTGGCCACAGCTGAATGACTCAAAACACACCGCAGCCCGAACTGGTGGCCCCCTGACAACATGTCTCATTCATTTTATCTTTGCTCTGAAAGCAGCTTTGCAGCTTAGGTGACTACCCTTGTTTAGTGAAATCATGGTTCTGTATTTTGCTTCCATTGTGCAGTTACTTTGAGCTATGTGGGTCACAGATGATTTTTTATTATTTATTTATTTATTTGCCAGTGGGGAAGGAGGCCTGGGTTTTTCGGCTTCTTTGGAGATGGTAATAAAGGAAAAAGAACGAGTGAAGTTAGACTGCGGGAGAGTGTAAGGCTTGGCTGCGTTATTCCCATTTCCGAAGCGAGGTGGCGCTCCAGGGCACTACACTGCGCCCGGGTTTCCGCAGCGGAGCAACTTCGTAGCGTTCTCCCAGGAAAGCGGCAGTCCCCGAGAGATGATGTAAACGCAGAGTTCCTAAACATTCTGTGCAGAGTCCAAGGGTGCTCAGACCCTCTTAGGCCTAGTGGTCCACAAGGGTAACAGAAGCCCCAAGTTCTTTTACTTGGGGAAACAGTATGGGCGAACTCATCAAATCAAGGCAAGGCCCGGGGGCATGCTCTGCGATGGGTCTTCCTTGGAATCTGCAAAGTTCTAATTCTTGGTGGGACTCCAGCAGCTCAGGGATGCTGCAGTGAGAACTGGGCCGGACTCGCAGAGCAGAGTCATCACCCCCATCTGCGGCTGGCAACTCATCAACGCACCGAGGTTTCCTCCCCATCCTCCCCTTCTTTGGCTTCAACCTCCTCCCACAACCACACCACTGTTAAAAGAAAAAGAAAGGCGAAGGATCAGGAGGAGAAGGAGAAATAAGAAAAGGGTGAGGGGGGAGGGAGCTGGTGCACTTCATTTTGTCTTTCAAACTGGGTCCTTCCCCCCCCCCCTTTCTGGTTTTCCCTTTTCTCTTTATTGCCAGTTTCTTCCCTTCTCTTCCTCTTTTTTTTTTTTTTGGTACGTTTTCTTTCCCTTTTTCGTTATGTTTTATACCCTCATTGGTGAAGAGAAAGAGAGAGAGTCTGAACACCAAATAAAAGACAACAAAATTGAAGAAACGATTTCGATTTATTGCATGGATTTCAATCCACACCATTTCGTTTCCACATCGCGTTTGCGGGCTCTGGCTCGTAAACCGCAAGTTAAAGAGTGTGTGTGTGTGGGGGGGGGAGTCCCCACTTTGAAAACTATGATAGAGATAATAATGGCGGTCATCTCTCTGAGTAGCAAGCACTTCTGTATTATGGGAGTGTCACTGTGGTTTTGCAACAGTGCTTGGAGGGCCAACATCCAAGCAGAATTTATCCTCTAGGTCTGAGACCCTGTTGTCATCTACTGGTTCCTTGGGTCCCTTGACTCATGAAGTGCTCCTTTCTCCGTGCTCTTCCGTACAGTAGCCTTCAGGCTGCCAGGAAGCTTACAGGGTTTGAAGCTTTTACCCTGGTTATGCTTCTTCTAGCCCCCATCTCACCCACTTCCCTGAAAGTTTTAAAAGAGAAATGGTGGGATTTTTTTCTTTTTTTAAATGCAGTTTAGGAGTCTACAGAAATTCAGAGGGTCAGGTCATTAGGAATGTTAACGGACGACCAAGAATTATAAACACGATCTAAAAAGTCTCTTCCAATTCATTTCTTCAAGTATTTATTTGTGCTAAGTGATGAAAGGTGACAGTTGTGAAATAGACAGCTTTTAAAAATAATGAAGTCAGATGAGCCTTTAACCTGTCGATTGCTATAAATCAACTTTGAAAAAGACAAATGGGGAATGTTATTTGGGCCCCTAACCTCCAGCATTTGCTGTGCTGCCTTGGCCAGTCAGCAACTGGGCTCAGTGAGGCTTTGGTCTGGAGAATAGCAATGGGGAGTGTGTGGGGAATCAAGCACCACAAAGACCCAAAAGGGAACACGTTAGTGAGCCTGTGTCACCACTTACACTTGCATACCAGGGGTGGATTTAGGCTACTGTAACGTGTCCAAGTCAGGCTGATGACAGGCCCTAGGACAGTGGGGAATTCGGAGAGGCCATCACTCAAGGGACTGAATGTCACATTATAGAGAAGAGTTACCATCCAGCCCCACTGTTTGTCAGGGTTTGGAAGACTGCCCTTGGAAATGGTGGTTGTGGTTTTTTGTTTTTCCTTCTGTCTGTCTCTCTTCCCATCCTTCCGCGCGCGTGTGTAAAATTAAATTTTTTTCTATGACACTGGCTAGTTTTCACAAGAAGGCCTATAGGTAGGAAATGACAGGTCTCTGGCAGGTTCGAGGGAAGCGGTGAAGGTCCCCAATGATGACTTCTAAAACAGGCGAAATGCTGTGATGTTTTAATGTAAAGTTTACATAAGCTCGTAAAGACATCAGTTCTCTACAACTTTCATTTCAGTCATAGCAAAGTCTAGGGTGTTGGGTTGAGAGAAATAAGTTTAAGGGATGGAGTTGTCTTCTTGTAATGGTCTCCTGTTCTATTGACGCTTCCCACCTGTGCTACCCCTCACTCCGTTTTTGTTTGTTTTTTTAGTTCAATCCTGAGCCAGAGAGGGTGCCTCAGCTTCTGGCTTTTGGGTCTGCTTGTCTTTTCACTTCCAAACGTTTGGGGGGGGGGGCTCAGACATTCTCGCGGTCTTGTCCTTCCCGTGCATCTTCGAGAAATACCGGCAACCAGTGCCATCCCGAAGAACAGAAGAGCTGCCTGAGCACTAGCAACAGGTCCACACTGAGATTCCTCTGTCCTTCACCGCTCCTTTCCTCTCCTCCCTCATTGCTGGGGAGGACTGTGCGCCCCTTTTCTCCTGGGTCACCCACAACAGCCCTGGAAGGGCAGCCATCGTACTGAGCTGTGTCTTAGGGTAAACTGCTGGCTAAGCGGTTCTAGTGGTGGCCTTTCTCTGGACACTCGCTTGGATCGAAGAGTGGATCTCATTGGAGAACGACGCCTAAAAGAAATAATGAGAAAATGGAAAGGATCATATCCTTCATGGAGGATCCAGATAGACACCCTGGTTTTTGTGTGTGACCCTCTGTATCCTTATACCCCTCCTGCCGGGAAATCTGATTTGAATCTCCTTCAGCGACTCCAGAGCCTTCAAATCTGATGTCCCTTTATTGGGGGTTGTTGGCTAGGAAGGCTCCGGCTCTAACTGCTTCCTGTCTACCCTCGAGGCAGCTGGAGCTGGAATGCAGCGGCCGCTTGCGAGGGGCTGCTGCTGGGCCACTGTCACAGTCTTCCCATCAGGAACCTAGACTTCCCTGCTCCCAGGCTAAGGTGGCCAGTGCGAGGGGAAGCTCCCTGACCAGCCAGGTCGAAGCAGTGAAACTCCAACTTCCATTTTTTTTCCCAGGCAGGGAGGGGGGAAATTCGTCGGAGGAGGTCGGTGGAGACTCCTCCTCCGCTCCGCCCGGAGGCAGCCTGAGCTCCGTGAGCAGTGCGTCTCCGCCCGCCCGAGCGTTTCCATAAATCAGGCCGCTGGCAGGCTGCTAATTAGCTCTGGCCGAAAAGAATGAGAGTTCTGTAGCACACGGTGGGTTGGGAGTGGGGGCTCAGTAGGTGGGAGATCAGAATTCCCCAGGATTAACCGAGAGACTCCTTGGGGGCATATCAGCATCCCCTGCCCAAGCCACCTCCGATCACCTCCTGCTAGCAAAGGCCTACCGGGTCTCCAGATCCCGCGCCTCCCGCACTGAGCGCACCTCTGCGTTCGACCTGGCCCGCCCACCCACGCCGAGGCCCCCTCTCCCACTCGCTGAGCGAGCCTGGCGTTAATTAACTCCCCCTTCACCCTGTGCAGTATCGGAAGACTTTCAAAACTCATCCCCAAGTGTTTCCTTCTCAAGCCTGAAGGCTGCGTTTGGAACAGCCGGTAGAAATGGGGGGGGGGGCTGGGGGAAGAGTGGGTTACGTCGGGATTTGAGATAACAAGACTTCCCTAGCGATTGTGTGGGTTGAAGGATGGGCCACTGTAACCCTATCCCTCCTCCCTCAGTGAAAAGGCGAGACGGTCAGGCAAGATTAAAAATAACATTAAAGTTGGATTATTGATTTCCATGTAAATTGCCAGCCGCGAGAGCGAATTCTGTTTATTTTCTCTTTTCCTCCCCCACGTTTCTCTAAGACCTTTGGGCTCTGCGCCCCTTGGAGCTATTCCCACCTTCCTCAGGGAAGAGACTCCTAGATGACATCACCAAGCAGAAAGGCTGCCTCCCTGCCCCAGGCCCCAGGACCCCTGAGCAGAGATTGACAGGTGTCTCTCGCGAGGACTTAGCCTCCCAGGTGTCACCGTCCCAGTCCCACCCCTCCCCACTCGCCCTTTTTGCTTCCCTTCCTAACAGCTCCTCTACCCACCCACTCTTCTCTCTTGGAGGCTCGTTCATTGCCCCCCCCCCCAACTCGTTGCTCTTTGCATCCAGGCACTGGGCTTCAGGTCCAGTCAAGAGACCTGGGTGACGCTGGTGTTGTTTGTGCCTGCAACGAGGCCGCTCCGAGATGCCAAAGGCTTGGATGAGGGTCCAAGCGGTGGCAATGCTCAGAGACAGTTAAGGGAAAACAAGTGAGCATTTTAAAGGAGCCAGAGCAGTCTCTGCACTTCGTATCTTCACTCTCTCTGCTCTCCACCCCTCACCCGTGCACGCTCACAGCACACACACACACACACACACACACACACACACACACACACACTAACAGAAATGAAGATAATCCCGCCATCGGGCAAATCCCAAATTAGGCGACCAAGCTACAAAAGCAACAAGGACATTTATTTCATCCGAGACGGGGTGTCTGGCGGTGCCCGATTCCCCGGAGCTGAGGAAAGGGCACTGAGTTCTGCGCCCATTGCGGCATCCCTGCCCTCCCTACCCTGGCCTAATAAATCTTGGGTGCTTTCTCTCTGAGCAACTAAGGGATTCAGACGAGGGGAAATGTAGTTCGGAGTCTTCCACCCCCAATACTGCATCAATGAACTAAAACCCAAATTCAGCTTTATTATGTATAACCGAATGTAATTCATAGCTGGGCGGCCAGTCGGTGGTGATTTAAATCATTTGGTGATAAGGATCACACTTATTAGATTTTTTTTCAAAGACGTTGAGGGGGGATTCTATCTATTTTTTTTAAAAGGAGGGCATTTGTGCTAAATTGCCCAATGCTGGTGTGATAACTGTCAAAAGTTTGACATCAAAGGGGCTAATATTATTCAGTTACCAGAGAAGCTGTCTAAATAAGAATATCTTAATTACAGCATCACAAAGGTAGAAAGAGGGTCGAAC